TCCCTTTCTGCCAGCAGGGACCACAGGGACATGCCTGGCAGTGTGACCAGCCCTGAGTGGGGACAGCCACTGCAGGACACCCGGACAGGGATGGCACCCAGTGCCAGGCTGGTGGGCAGAGGAGCATCCCATGGGCTGGAGGGGTCTGCAGCAGGTACAACGTAATTACCTCCAATATTTATCTTGTTGTTCGTCTTTTCTATTTTTTCTTGTAAGAGAAAAGGAGAAAAAGATGAGTTTCTCATTTGCAAGTTAATTAGTCTAATTACCTCTAATTAAGGGCTCCCCACACAATGCAGATCACAAATAAGCTGCCACTGTCGCCTGCTCCTACTCTTTTCTCCCCAGTTTTGATTTTCCACAGGAGCTGTTTGAAGGCTGTGGTGAGAACCCAGGTGTGGATCCTGGCTGGGCACAGCAGGGCTTGTATGGAACGTGGGAACAGCACCCAGCCCCTGGCAGGAGGTGCCCACAGCACTGCGGGGGCCACCACAAACTCTTCACCTGCTGGGACGCTCCAGGAGTCAGGGGGCTGCTCCCTCCTGGCCCCTGGAACACCAAGGGACATGGTGCAGCTTAAAGCTCTGCTGGGGCTGCCCATGGGCAGTGGAGGGTGAACCCTGCAGCAGCTCCAGCCCAGAGTTCCAGCCCAGAGCTCCAGCCCAGAGCTCCAGCCCACAGCTCCAGCCCAGAGCTCCAGTCCAGAGCTCCGGCCCAGAGCTCCAGTCCAGAGCTCCAGCCCACAGCTCCCAGCCCAGAGCTCCCAGCCCAGAGCTCCCAGCCCAGAGCTCCCAATCCACAGCTCCAGCCCAGAGCTCCCAGCCCAGAGCTCCAGCCCAGAGCTCCAGCCCAGAGCTCCCAGCCCAGAGCTCCAGCCCAGAGCTCCAGTCCAGAGCTCCAAGCCCAGAGCTCCAGCCCAGAGCTCCCAGCCTGCTCAATGGCACTGCCATGTCACTGGGTCATTAGCCATGGCATGGCCAGGACTGCACAGCCCCTGACCACACACTGCTAGGCTCACACCAGCACTGGAAGATCCACCTTCTTCCCTGGACATTTAGTTGTCCTGTGCCCAGGCACCCTTCCCAGCCTTCCCAACACTGGCACAGCTCCCCACACCCTCCCAGTGCCCAGCCCACGCAGGCCTACAAAACCCAGCAGCACTGAAGTGACTAACGCCCTTCCTGGAGGGGCTACAGTGCCCCTTGGTGCCCTGGCTCCTCCATGGAAGCCCACTCACTATCCCACAGACACAGTGTCCCCACACAGGAGCCCCCATCCCCGTGGGGACAGCAGCCAGGCAGCCAAGTGACCCTGAAGCTCCTGGAGGTGCCCGGGGTGCCCGGCTGCAGCACCCAGCACCCTCCCCAGCCCTGGCTGCAGCCCGTGGAGCTGGCCGGGCCTGGGGGCTGCACAGAAAACCATGTTTAAAAGCATCTTCCTGTTTGGATGGTGGCCCCTGAGCGGGGGCAGCCCCAGGGCCAGGGGTGGTGCAGCTGGCGGGACTGGTGGGGGTGGCCTGCACCCGCTCTTCTAATTAGCCTTTCTTTGTTACAGCCCCCCTCCAACTGCATGTGATGCTTTAAAGAATGACAGATACTAAATCTAATTTAATCTACTCATTCACCCATCACTATAGCATAAAAATAGGAATATACCTATAAAAAGAGCTTTGCCAGGCAGTGTGGGCCAAAATCACAGCTATTGTGGGATTAGCAGCTTTGCAAAGCTAAAATGAATATCAGTGTTTTCAGTATAAAAGAACCCGAACCAGAAAACACGTTTTGGGGGCTCTAAGCCTGTCCTCAGTGAGCAGGACAGCTGCCACAGCACGGCCAGAGGCGGGAGCTGCCGTGCCAGGTCTCGCAGCCGTGCGATGCCGGGCAGGGGGAGAAACCCGGTTTGAAACGAACCCGCTGCTGCAACACACGGCACCACCGCCCGGAATAGACCCGCTCCCTAAAAATATAACATGCTAAACTTGGCAGCAGCCCTTTCGGAAAGGAATTTTCCGAGCAGGATTTGCAGAGGCTGTTTCCCGGCGGGCCAGGCGCCGCTCAGCCGAGTCTCCTGTGCCGGGGTGTGACTGTGAGCAGCGGGGATGTTCCCGGCCAGGAGCATCCCAGGGGCAGCACTGCAGCGGGCCTCAGCACACCTGTACGTCAGCCTGGGCTGGGCTCAGACCTGCACGGGGCTGGGGCTGCACAGGGCCGTGCAGGGTACAGCACTGGTCTGAGCCTCAGAGCCCAGCTATGCTCGGGGTCAGCACCGAGCCCTGTCCTGCAGCCATCACTTGCTCCCTCACCACAACAGCAGAGATGTGTTTCAAGCACTGACTGAATCCTCTGTTAACCAAACGAAGCTACCAAAGAGTCCTTCCACACCCAGACCCTCACTGAGCAAGAACCAAATGTCCCTGCCAAGCCCCACCGAAGGGTGCAGCGCTCCCACTGGCCCAGGCTGCAGACATGCACCCACCCTCCCGTGGCTGCTGCCCTCCAGCCCTCCAGAAGTCCTGCTCTTGGAGCATGGCAGTGCCAGGGGGAGTTCCAGGGCACAGTGTGGCTGCACAACCCAGAATGCCACAGACCATGGCTCCTGTGGCTGGGCCAGGGTGGCCACACGAGGAAAGCAGAGCAGAGTGAGCTGAGAGGTGCCCACAGCACCTGGAAAAGCCACTGGCACTGCTGAGCCCTCCCCAGTGCTGGAAGAACTGAGGTTTTGTTGAGAGCTTCATTACTTGGTCATTCCTTCAAATCCCAACCCAGCTGAAAACGCTGGGGCTGGGAGCTATGGAACATCAGCAGCATCCTCAGGGACCAGTCCAGCCACAGGCTCCTGGCAGGGACAGCACTGTCTGAAGGGGGTGAGGGCAGTCACTGCGTGCAGAGCCTGGTGTGCCCCAGCTCCTGACCGACTGGCCAGCCCAGCAGACTCAGTCCTGGTCACTGGCTCAGGCACCATCATGGTACAACCTCCTTACAAACCCAGAAAGGGTTTGGACAGGGACCAGCACCCAGGGGGTCACAACCAGGTCCCTCCAGACCCCACGGCACAGCCAACCCAGGGACAGTCAGTTGAATCCTCTCAGGTGTCCCTCCTACACAGAGGTGAGCCAGGCCAGCTGGCCAGAGCCAGCTCTGGGGTGGAGGTGGCACAGGTGGACAGTCTAAAACCCAGAGCAAATTCAGAGCTAAAGCAGGTGCCCACCCGTTGAGGGGCCCATCAGCCACGCATGGCCCATGCCCCTGTCCCACGTGATGGCCTCCAGTGACACCTTGTTGTCACACGCATCAGGAACACCTGTCCCCAAGTGCTGGGTGCAGAACCTCGGCACAGAATAAACCCCAGGAAGAGGATGGAGATTTTCACCTCCATCGTGCTCATCAGCCGGGTGAAAATCCAACTCCAAATCCTGTAACAAAACCCTCCTCCTGGCTTGCAAGTCCAGAGCTGCTGCCAAGGAGCAGGAGGCTTCTGGGAGAGCAGGGAGGAAGGGATGCAGAACACAACGGTCAAACCAAACCAGGCAGGGTGATGGGGGAACTGGGAGCTGCCAGATGCAGAGCTGCACACCCGGGAAAGTTTCTGCTTCCCAGGGACCCACAGGTCCTCCTTCCCAGCCCTGCAGACACTGGGAGCACCCGTTGGGCTGTGCTGTCACCGCCACTGCTGCCAGACCCAGGCCAAGCCATGCCAGAGTGCTCTGCAGGTCCAGAGAGCAGCAGAGCTGAGCCCCTGCTGTGGCCAGGGACAGGGGATCCCAGCTGGAGAGGGACATCTCCCATGCTGCAAGACAGGCCCTGGGCACTCCAAGGCATTCTTGTGCTCCCTTCCTCGGGACAGAAACCATCCCCTGATCGGGTGGGGGTTCAGGGACAGTTTTTGCCCAGCGTCAGATGTGCGGCAGCCACAGGGACCTCAGTGCAGCTTTGGAAAGGGTGGAACCCAGCGCAGCCCTGGCTGTCCCCGGGCCCTGCCCGCGGGAGGTGCCGTAAATCACGCGCCTGCCTCGGCAGCCCTGCCGCAGCCCCCGTGCCCACGCCTGTGCAGCCAGCTCCGGCCTCCAGCGGGGGAGAGACACCTGGGCCTCGCCATCCCCACCTCTGCTGGCCACGACCCCGCTCGGGCACCACCACAGACACCCCAAGGGAGCAAACACTCCCAGCCTTCCCCGCTGGGGCGGAGGGTTGGCACCTGCGTGCCTGTCCTCGCCGCTGGGTGAACCGCGCCGGCCACGCCAAGTGCAGGGAGGATGCCATGAATTTTTAAACTCCTGAAAGCACAAATGGAGTGGTTTGCCTGGCTGGGAGACGGGATTTCCGACGCAGCACAGAGGCATTTGAGGAAGATGCTGCCTCTCCCAAGCTGCCCTTCCCCTGGGATGATGGGCCCAGAAACCCGGCACTCAGGGTCCATCACAGGAACCAAGGGCAACCCTGTGGGACAGCAAAACCTTGGCCCAGGTGAAGGACCAAGCTGACGACCTCAGCAGCCTCTATCTGGGCTGCCCAAGCCCGGCACCCGCCGGGCACCACGTGCCCCCAGTCCCTCTGCAGCAGCTTCCAGCGACATCGGGACAGCCCCACGCCCGCCCGGCTGTGGACACGCACACATACGTGCACACACGTGTTCACGCACGAGCTCATCACCTTCCCTTCTGCTCAGGCCACGCAGGAGCCTCGTTCCTTCACCCGAGCATCCATCATCGCCAAGCGGCAGCCGCGCCGAGGCGGGGAAGCGCTGGAGCCGCGCCGGCGGCTCTGCCTGCCGCACTGCCCGCGCCTCTGCCCTGGCCGAGCTCCCGCCGCCACGGCGGGGAACGCGGAGAAACCCCAAAAGCTGCAGCCGAGGAGCCCCGGCGGCACAACTCCGGCTGCCGCGGGGCTGGAGCGGGGAGGCTGCGAGGAAGCTGTCAAGCTCTTACCCTCTGCCCAGAGGGAACCAGCCAGAAACACGTGCGAACCGGAAAGCAAAAAAATCCCCTGGAGAGGGTGGCTTACCTGTTGGAGGTAGAGGAAGGCTGGAGGACAGGGGAGAGAGTGAGGAAGCATGCCTGAGTTGGAGACAAGGAGGCAGCCCGAGTTAGCCATGGAGCACAGCATGTGTCGACAGGTAGCCGTGGAGCTGCTCGCGGGTCCGTCCTCTTCCGCACACCGCTATCCACCGCTATCCTCGTCTTCCCGGCTGGCCCCTCGGGCTCTCCCCTCCTCGCCGTCCCTCCCGACCCCTCGGCGCTAGTTAGGAGGGTTCATCTGCGGCAGGCCGGCCGCGCCGCCGCCGGAGCAGCGCTTGGCTCTTCACTTCGGGGCCATTAGACACTGGCACTGAGCGCACGGTCTGCAAAGGGTGTGCGTGAGCCAGAGCGGAGCGGGAGAGAAAGGAAGGGGAGGAGGAAGGAGAGAGGGCTCGGGAGCGAAATAAAAGGGGTGGGAGTTGGAGGAGGAGGGGGAGTCCCCTGTGCATTCAGACATCAAACAGAGCTCTGTATAAAATGAAGAGAATCCGTAATGACATGAGAACAGCTGATCCCGCACTTAACCCCTCCACCGCCGCCGCTCTGCAGATGGCTTCCCCGCCGCCCTCGCCGCCCGGCCGCACGCTGGGGAAGCAACCGGGCAGGACGGGGCCGGGCGGGCAGAGCCGGCTCCGCTCCCGGCTCCGCTCCCAGGGGAGGGGAGGCTCTTACCGGGAGTCGCGGCGCTGCGGCGCGGTGCCGCGGGAAGCCGTGCGGGCAGCGGCGGCGGCGGGGCTGCCGGGGACTCCCCCGTGCTCACTCCGCCGCACACGTGCACACCGCCACGCTCTCGCCGCGAGACGCCGGCGCTGCCGGGCCCCGGGAGCCGTGCAGCAGCCCCGGCTCCGCCTCCCCGGAGCCACCGGCCCCGCACGGCCCCGCACGGCCCCGCAGCCGCGGGCAGCCCGCAGCGTTCCCTGCCGGACCAGCCGCACCTCACCGATGCCCGCATGCCCCGGGCACCACTGCTCAACCCTGCCAAGGTGTGGGAGCCCCCGGCAGGGCCCTGTGAGTCCCCACCTGCCCGCCCGTCCCCCAGGCACGGAGGGCTGTGGGGACCCCTGCCCCTTGGGGTGACATGAGGGGCGCTGCCCCCTGGCACTGGCTCCCCTGCGCTCCTCAGGCGATGGGGACCCTCTGCCCCAAGACCCACAGAGGTCAGCCCCGGCAGGGCTCCAGAGGTGCTCTGGCGTTTCCAGGGGCCCTGCGGTGCTGCCAGCAGCCCTGACGCATCCACACCACACTCACCGCTGTCACAGCTGCCATGGCAATAGCCTACGTGCCGGTGCCCGCGAGGGACAGCCGCGTGTGTTCGCTCGGGTCCCGTCCCACCTCCACCCAGCCGGGCCCCGCAGCAGCCCCGGCACTGCCGGGGGTCCCTCCCTGGTGCCCACGCCTCGGCAGCACCGTGCCCGGCTCCGGAGCCATGGCAGTGCCGAGGCTGCCAGGCTGGCATTGTGCTGGGGCATGTAGGAAACGAAACCTGGGCTCGGCTCAGTTTCCGTCTTGGCCAAATGTGATGCACAAAGGCAGGGCTGTGCCAGCAGCTGCTGATGCTCCGTCTCTGCCGGAGCCTCCAGCACACGACCAGCCGTTTGGAGCTGGGATTTTCCACAGTATCCCCAGGCAGAGTGACATGCTGCAGTGTCCTGGTACACTCGCAGCAGTTACGGCTTCTGCTGCAGACACTCCGGAGCAGCAGTGTGTGGCATGGCCAGCCCAGAGCACAGGGAAAACCTGCTGCAAACAGCTCTGGAAGAGCCAGCCTGGGAAAGCAGTGTGGGGCCAAGGGGGTGCCAGCCCCTCCCAGCAGGTCCTGAAGCTTGGGGGACTACACTCCAAAGGGACTGCAGGGACCCAGATTAGGGAGGGGATGGCAGACCTGGGGGAGGCTTTGTCACCACCACCACCTTTGTCACCACCACCACCTTGTGGCACTGGGCACGAAAAAGGTCCAGCAGTGACATCTGCTGCCAACAGCATCCCCAGGCACTGCTCCCTGTGGATGCCCACCACAGCTGCTCCCCCTCCAGCTCCAAGGACCACGACAGAAGCAGCGGCCCCTTCAACTCACTGTGCTGCTCAGACCCCTGAGCACCTGCTGGCTCCAGCTTCCCTTCCCAGAGACCCCCATGGCCGGGGTGCCATGCCCTCCTGTGCCCTCCAGCACCCGGGGAAGGATGTGGCACAGCTCTGAAAGGACAAGTGTGTCCCCCCACAGCCCTTGGTGCAGTGGAGGGAACAGGGGCTCCCCCAGGAACCCGCATGCACCCGAGCACCATGGAGACCCCCAGCAGGCAGCTCCAAAGGCCCTGGCTCCACTGCAGCTCCTGGAGGTGACAATGGCAGGGCACCGCCTGGCACACTGGCCTTGCGGTGCCCAGCTAAGCCAACCACGTGAGGCAGGAACGGGCTCCAGGATGAGGTAATCTGCCCATCCTCCCCCGCGCCGCTCCGGCCAGGGTGACTCAAAGGCATTCCTGGCCGGTGGCAGCACCACAAGTGCTGGCACTGCCCCGAGCCAGCAGCGAAATGGGCACAGCTCTGCGAGCTGAGCAAGTGGAGTCCCTTCTCCTGCCATCACCAGTGCGTGCCTGGCTGCAGAGATGTCCCTCTGCAGAGGGGAGCCCCGGGGACACGGGCCGGGCAGGGTGGCACCAAGCCCCCAGTCAGCTCCAGTGGGAACACCGTGCTGGCACCACTGGCTGGGTTCCCCTGCCCTGCTGCTCCCAGTGACACTGTGCCACAGTCCCAGCCAGCAGCCTGGCGGTGGCACCAGGGCAGTGCCCAGCCCCGCAGAGCCGCAGCCCCGGAGGAGCACCTCCAAAACTGAAGCCTCCTGGAACGAAAGTTTATTTATCTGTTTAATTAAGATGTGTTCACCAGGCGCACAGACCCCATTCCATCTGTCTCACTTACAGCCGTGTCCCAGTAAAATTAAACCTAATAAATATCAGCAGAGGGAAAGCAAAGGGCACGTGTGAGATATACGATCAAAGGCTGAATTGCACAGGGCTGCAGTTCTCAGCACATCTCTCTCTGCCCTTCGGGGCTGGGCTGGCGCTGCGCTCCCCGCTCAGGATGGGGCTGCCTTTCCTTCAAATCAGCACAATTCCCAGTTTTTTATTTTTTTTTTAATGAACCCTTCAGGGCTCCTTGGTTTTGTTTTCTGGAAGAGGGAGAACAACATGGCACCGGGACAGGAGTGGTCTTGGCCACTGTTCTGGTGCTGGAGCCAAGGGCCAGAGCCTGCACTGGGAGCACTGGTGGGCATGTACCCCCAAACCACTGAGGGAAACTGAGGGAACTTGCCAGGGGCACTGCAGCACATCTGGCTGCTCCAGGCACCGGGATGGACCTGCTGCCCAGTGGAGAGCTGCTGGGAGATGCCCGAGCAGCCAGTGCAGTGCCACCCTCTCCTTGGGAAATGGCAGCAAAGCCCAGGCTTCCTCCAAGGGACATCCCACCATCTGGGAGCTTCATCCACGAGGAACGAGGCCCAGGGGTCTGCCTGGAGCCCCCAGCCCCGCTGAGCACACAGTGGCACATCCAGGTACCAAGGGCCCTGCATGGTCTGCACCAAGCCCTGAGCCCCTGTCAGAGCTGCTGCCAGCCCAGAGCTGGCCCAGCCCCATGCCCAGATTCCGACCCACAGGAATCCCAGTGGGAATCCCAGTGCCTGGCAGCAGGGTTCCTCCTGGGAGCCCCGTGTTTCCTCTCCCAGCAGAGAGGACGACGCGATGCCCAGGCCCTGCCATGGGGCACGGGGCGTCCTGGGGGCTGCTGCTGTTCAGTGGGACCCCGTGGTCCCTGCAGCACTCTCCCACAGGGCCAAGCCCAATGCTGACACCCGTGAGAGCTGCCGAGGAGGGCTGCAGATCAGGAAAGACACAACCTCTGCCAGGAGGGCCCTCGAGGCTGGAGCAGGGAGATCAGGTGCTCCAGCCTCCCTGGGGCCATCCTGTGAGTGCAGGGCTGGCAGCACACCAGCACCCAGGGACAGCGGTACCAACCTGATCCTCTCCTCCCACCCACTCCAAATGCCCCCAAGCTGAGGCATTCATTAATTAGAAGCTCATTAGTAGTTATTCAAAGACATCAAGCAATTAGATGAAGATGAAGGCATTGACAGATCTGAGCTCCTTTGTGACAAGGAACATCCCATGGCAAGGAAGGTCCCACGTCCCCTGTACCTTGGCCACAGGGATGGCCCCAACTTAGGGCATGGACCAGGACAGCAAGAAGGGACTGGCAAGCCTCCCTGGCACCCTGTTCAACCACTCCATCTTCCTCTGCTCCTTCCTCCTCCTCCTCCAGCAGCTCTCAGAGGTCACTGGAGCCACTCTGAGCACCTGCTCTGAACTCCCAAAGATGGAGCACCCAGGTAGGACCTCACCAGGTGAGGAGGGGACTGTGACCAAACCACAGCCAGTGTCTGAGACAGCAGCTGTGGCAGGAGGATGGGAAAGCACTTGGAAGTGTAATGGGATCCAGGGAAAAAAACGCCCCATGAGGATGTTCCTGACCCACTGTGGGGGGAACAGGATGGGGCCTGGGGATCTGCCAGCCTCTGGCCAGAGCTGCCAGCACCGTGCAGAACAGGACAGCAGCTGGGTCAGCACCTGGGGATGTTCCACAGCCTCCCGTGCCACCCCTCCTCTGCCCTTGAGCCACTTGGGCAGGGACAGGAGCCCTGGTGCTCTCCACAAAATGGCACCTCCTTGCAGCTGTCCCCTGTGCCCATCACCCAGCACAAAGAGGGGCACAGGGACCCCCAGCAGCCAGTGCATCCAGCACAAACACAGGGACCCCAGCAGGCAGTCCCATCCGTGCCCTGGCTCCCTGCAGGACACTCGGGGCAGCTCCTCAGGGACACAGCTCACACCCCTGGCTGGGCAGCACGAGCCACAGCCTGTCACCATGCCTGGCTCCTCGCCTCTGCCCGTGCCACCCTTCCTGAAGCCCTTTCACTTGACAAAATACTTACATGAAATGGCAATTAGGCTCCCTGGATTTAATGAGAACTAACCTGCAGCAGCAGCAGCGTGGCAGAGCAGCTGCTGCCAAGCACTTTGAGCCTACAGGCCGGGTGGGCAGTGCTGGGGACCACAGCAGGGGACAGGGAGAATGGCTGTACCGTGCTCGCAGGGTCACCAGGGCCAGAAGCACGGCCACCAACACTGGGGCCAGGGCCAGCACCACCACCAGGCCCAGCACAGACTGAAAAAAGGAGGAAGGACTGGTGGAGGATGATGCAAGGAAGGAGCAACTGCAGACCAGGAACATGAAATGCTGCATGCCCAGGGTCCCCCTCTTCCCTGAG